ATCTTTGAAGTTTCTCATTTGTCTTAGGGAAATAGCTCCCTGCCCACCTCTCTAAAGGTGTTTATGCAGAAGCACGTGAGACACGTGCAGTAATAAGCGTTTGCAGGGCAATCTCCATGTTAAAGGAAAATGTTTGACGTGTTTGGGAGAGTAGAGAGGTGGCCTAGGATGCTGTGGTTGTGGACGAGGCACAGGCGATTTGTGAAATACGGATGAAGTTCAGTAAGTTTTTGGGCCAAGAGAATCTCTATGGCTAGGCTGCATGTCTCAGACGCCATAAGGCACAGGTCTTGTAGATGCGTCTTGCAAAATCTTAACCGGAAGTTTGGTGTGACAGGTTATTTTTGTGATTGCCTCCTCTGTCTAAGAAACTACTTGATTCAAATCTCTTCAGCTGGAGAAAAGCGTAAGAAAGTAGATTTAGACACTGAGATTTGAATTGAGTTTTCCACTTTATTTACGCTCCTCCAACTTTGGGAAGGATTGGTGTTTCGGGCTGTTTTTCTGAAGAAATCTTTGATCGTGCAATCTGTCCGTCTGTCTGCCCGTTCTTTCAGACGACTTGAGGGCCTGCTAGAGTCTTCAAGAGCAGAGCTCTCAGGGGTATGAAATTTCTGTGTGTTTTATGGAAACGGGTGGTTGACTGAAGAGGAACCCGTGTGATGCCCAAGGCCTTAAGAGAGAGGGAGCCCCTTATCCACTGTGAGGAGTAGTTGGGTGACGGGTTAGCGAGCATAATTCCTACGTATGTTGGCGTTTGCTGCCAAAGAGAGAGTAGAAATGACAGGGAGCTGGTGTGTGTATGGGAGCAAGAGTGAAGATGAGGAGCTACGGTATCCACATCTTATTTGCCTTCCCAATTTCCCCTGCTCGGGGGGGTGTCTTATTTCTCATTCTGTTTCCTTTGTTGCCTTTTTCGTTTGTTTATATCATCTATCAAGTTTATCATTATGTGCTCGTGCACATAAAATCTTTATTAGCCATGTGTATTCTCTGTTCTCTATTTTAATTTTCCTTCCTTCCTTCTTTGTTAATGAACTCCATTGACTGCAGATGTTTCCCATTTGACAACACCTGAGACTAAGGTTTTCCATTAGAAACCGAATGAACTCTGGCTTCTTCCCACTGCCTCCCCTATGTGTGGGGCAGAGCTGTCTCCTAGAAGAAGGAGGAACTGAACCTCCCTGCCAACAACTCCCAAACCCGAGGTCACAGCCCTCCTTGAGATCAAAAGTCCAGAGGTTGAAACAGAAGTTGGGTCATCATCTTATGTGTGGCTTGCAAGCAGGAGTGTCTAGGAACTGTATCCCTGTGCTCCTTCGGTGTTCTTGAAGTGACTAGGAGTAGAGGAGGCGAAACAGGGTCAGTGCTGAGACTGAGAAGGTCATTTGCATTCTGTTTCTCAATTAATCAGTTCTCAGAAGCCATTCAGTGGTGATCAGGCATTGGTCACGTTTACTACCCACCCACTTGGCTAGACTTGGTCTCCACACTTACAAGGACATCAAGGAATGTATTTCCTCACCACTTCCCCTGAGAGTTTGATTCCTCACACTTGTGGCACGTAAACATCGGGTGACAGGAATTTCAGGGCTTTGTACCGGTTTTCCCAAGTCAAAATACTGTACTAATACCTTCTAGAAAAGGGCCCAGTTCACTCCTCTGGTTTTAATGATGGGTCCATTTATCAAAACATACCTTGAAAAATAAGGGATGGATCACGCAGTTACTGTGTGGGTGTGTATGTTATGGCTGTGTACTCTGAACCTTCATTTTGGACAATGGTGCAAAGAAAGTTTTCTGCACCAGTATGTCTTGACATCCTTCCGAATAAATCCTTCCCTAGAGAATCTTCTAAGAAATTATTCTGCCTTGCACAGGTAGAGCGAATAAATCGTCTTCTGGCCCAAGCCTGTTATGATCTTTTAATCTTGACATATTTTTTTCGGAATAGCAGTTATTTGCATTGTCTGTGTGCGAATGGCATAACTTCTGATTTGTGTCTTCTTCCTTCATACTTGAGAAACTCCATGTATTTTTTCAACCTTTTTTTTTTTCAGTAGGGATGGGAGTTTGTTTCCAGGAACTGGTGTTAACGTATTTGAACCTCGTGGCTATGGAAATTTAAACTACCCTCCTGCTCCATGAGTGAGAGATCTTTAAATCTAGATTCTGCAAAATTGGACAAAGCTGCGTAGTGGATCCTGCAAAAAGCTGCTAATCATGAGCAGCATTTGCAGAGGGACGGGGAGCAAGCACAGCAGCAGCATGAGGTTGGGAACGCCACTGACCACTGAAGGGTAACTGCTGTGATCTGGAGAAAAATAAGAACAGAGCACGTAGATGGAAGAATCAGGAAATAAAACTTTGGGACATCTTTCACTGGTTCCCAATTCCTGTGCTCCTTCCCAGTTCTCCCTTTCCCCGCTCAGTCCCCCTCCTGTCTACGTAGATAAATGGAGGACTTTATTGGCCAACGTCCCGTAGTCTTTCCACAAGAAGTATAGCTCCGGGAGAGATTCACAGCTGGGGTGCAGAGCCTGTGGACAGCAGTAAAAAGATAAGATGCTTGAGTGTTTCAGCACACTCAGGGCAAAGTCCTCTCTGAAAGGGCCAGGGGATTGCAAATCAGCTCCCAAAGCACGTCTGGCAGGAGAAGTTGCTGCGACATTCGTAAAATAAGTGGCCGGGAAGGCTGGAGTGACTCATGGGGGTGGAGGCACAGTAGGAGGCGCTGGCAAATGAACAAAGTGGTCAGATAAAGGAAAGTCCTGGAGGCAAGGCCAAGCCGTTTGAACTCGGTAAGATGGGGAGGAGGAGGTGGCTGAGAAAAGGCCCTTCGTTAGTGCCTAAGCCACCTTTTCGTTTGCTGGCTGCTCGTTGGTTGTGCAGCTGAAACTGTGCTTTCCTTCTCATAGTAGTGTACAATTCCTCCCTCCTGGAAAGCTGCTTTCAGTGTCAGGCGACATCATGGTTTATTATTAGCGCTATTGTCAGCGTTACACTCAAAACACAAAAGCGAAAGATAACGATATCATGTCTCAGATACTCAGTCGCAGTTCAGAGGCATCTTCTGTATCTGCTGATGTTCTTCAAGCAGTAGCTTGGGCTGCAGTGCTGGAAACGCTCCTTAGCATTGCGGCCACAGGAGCAGCTGAGGGAGGAAAGTCCTGAAGGACGTGTCAGTGAAAGCCTCCATATATCATAAGATCTGGTTCTACCACTCCATATAATTAGCGATTAAAATGAGTAAAAACAAAGGAGCAATTTTCTTATTGATCCCTCAGCAAATAGTTCTGTCTATTTTCTTCTGTATTGTTTCTTCTTATTAAGTAGCCTTGAATAAGAAATGTCAGTCAAAGGAATTTAGACTCCTGGTGCTTCAGACAGAAATCAAAGCAGGATTGAACAAGGAAAGATAATTAAGGAGAGGAATTCCACCTCCACAGACTTCTTTCCTTGCTCAAGGAGTGCTGATTTTATCTGAATTGCCGAAGCTGTGAGCAAATGAAAGGTGATGGGAATTATAGACTGCAGACGCTGAGACAAAGCAAGGGAAGCTTTAATTAGTGCATTTTTTAGGTAGAAATGAATTTCCTGGGAATAAATTATTTGACTCGAGACATATGGAGCTTCTTAGAGGTGAGCTGAAAAGCTTTTTACCTGCCAAAACCAGGGCTCGGGAGGTTGTGTCTGTCTTGCAGAAGCGTACGACATCACTGAGGTCTGAAACACAAGGGCACAAGACCTCCTTTCATTTGCATTTCACTTTTTTTGACTACGGAGGAATTCCCATTGCTGCAGATTTCCATCGGTGCAAGAGAAAGCAGAATTCACTCCAATACCCACCTGCTACTAGTTCAAGTATTAGCGATGGGAGCTACTGTTGCAGAGGAATTGAGAGTTATGTATCGAACCAACAGGTACTGACAGGAAGTTACTTTCCTTTCAGATTCTCTTTTTTGTCGTTTCTTAGCTCTGTTGCCATGCTGTCATCTCCCTCACGCACCTGTAAGGATACTCAGGACCTTAAGACGCTGACCTCGCTACTTTTTAGCAGTTTTCCACAGCTTCTTAGCAAGCAAGACAGTGACAACTCTCTACCATTTGCAGGGTAGCTACAGAGTCTTGTTTAAATTGATGGACCTGACATGGAACCATTCATCTGGGTATTTTAATCCCAAACTCCCTGCCTTCAGTGGAATCATTCATATTCTTGACTGTTTACGTGTTCAGTGTGAGGCACTTGCTCCCAGACCACCAGGAGCGGGGCCAGGGCCAGACCTAAAGGTTATTTTAAGGGGGTGCTTCCTGGCCCCTGATGCGAGTGCTGCACAAACGCAGAATAAAATGTCACTGCCCCTCCAAGAACAGCACTGTTATCCTCTGCTCTGAAAAGTGTAGCGGCTCTCCAGAGGTGGAAGTGCAACCCCACCAAGAGTCTGGTGGCCACCCCAGCAGCACCTTCCCAGGAGTCATGGGTTTACTGGCAGTGGCAGTCTTAAGTGTGGTATGAATATATATCGGAAAATCACTCTGTCCTTCTCTGTGCAGCCCTTTCTGAGAGGAACCTCAGCTCCTGATCTTCCAGGAATCTGGCTCTGCTCCTGACCGAATGTGCTAGATGACAAGAGATGAGTAGAGCAGAGAGCTCCAGGGGCAGGTGTGCATGTGCCACCCCGTCAACCCTGGGCCTGCTGGAGACCTAGCGGCTCAGCTCAGTCTTTTTACCCAAAGGAGCGAAAGTCTGACAAGAGCTGCAAAAAAAACCCCACACCTACTCTGCAAAAACAAATATCATGCTCATTGGTTTGTTTAATGTTCTGGTTGCCTATTTTGAGATGTTGCTATGCTGTCTATAGGTTAATTTGTATTACCCATGACGAATGAATACAGTCAAGAGGTATTAAACGCTGATGTGTTTATCTTATGGCAAGATAGAAATGTTGCAAACTTGCGAGCTACGGGAGGAAATGGGCTAATTTTAGATTTGTTCCTAGCCCTCGCCATGCGAATGGTGTCGCTGTGAGCCCAGCAATGAAGTTCACTGTGTTGTAGCAGACTGCGCAGTTCCTGAATGTGTCAACCCAGTCTATGAACCAGAACAGTGTTGTCCTGTCTGCAAAAATGGTAAGAAAGTACTGTATTGGCTTTAACAAAGGGATATAAAGGAAATATTTTATTAAAATGTTGTTACCCATGAATTGCCAGGAAATTTGCTTCCATTGGCACAGCCTGGCATTGGGGCTCTTACTTCTCCTTGTGCGTGGGCTTCAGTTACAAGCTTGCAACTGTGAAAATTAAGGCTGCCCTTCCTGGCTTGTGTCCTCTTACTGGAGCTGATGGGGTTGCTGACTTGAGTAAGGGCTTGTAGGATCGGGTCCTCACATTGATGGTGGTCATTTCATGTCTTGGCTCTGTTCTCGTAAGTAGTGTCACACAAAATCAAGTACGTAAGAAAAGAGAGGAGCCTTTGCCCCTAAATTAAGGAAGGGATAGTTATATGTAAGGTCATTGGAGAATCAACAGCAAAACTCCCATTGGGGCCAGGAGGAGACTGGCCAAGCCCATAACACTGTGAGTTAGGTGCTGGGGTCCCCGTTGCGCAACGTTCTAGCGTTGGCCCTCGCTGTGCTGCTGAAACTGGTCCGTGAACTGGAGTCAGATTCAGGAATACCTCTGGAAGGTAAATCCATTCCTCAAAAGGTCTCCGTGGTCAGACTGTACCACCACCCCAAAGCACATTTTGCTCTGGAGAAGGACAGCTTTCCCCTAATGTAGACAAATTAAGAGGTGAGCTAGGTTCACATAAACCTCTTCACAGAAATGGCTGCCTAGACTCAATCTTCTCCTGTTCAGGCTTCCCTATCCATACGTATGTCCTCTTACGTACATCGCTGCCACTGGGTGTAAAAGAGTAATGGTTGCTTTTAGATCCAGAATGAAAATGTTTACAGAGGAATAACATTTTCAGCACAATTTCTGCTCTTTGAAACAGAGAGAAAGCAAACAATTTGAAATCCGAAATGTTTTTAGTGAAAGAATTGGCAAATTTCTCAGCAGTCCACATAATTATAGCAAAAACATTACTTGAAATGCAGAGGTTTATATTAAACCTTGACTTGTAATCAAAAATATTTTTAAGGTTTCCATTTAGAGTTTTCTGTTTCCATTGAAAAACAGAAAAATGTTCGCAGGAAGTTTCGTTAGGTGCTTTTTTGTTGTTGAGCGTCAAAGAAAAGGCATTTTAACCAGCTCTCCACACCATCTTTGCAGACCACCCGCCGAGCCTGGGTACCAAGTTTCCCATCTGATGCAGCAAGATTGCCAAAAGAAGGATGTAGCAAGGCAGGCAGCTAAGTGGAAGGCGTAGCATTAGCCATCCTGGTGTCCGTCGCAGTAGCGTAGGCTCATTTATACCGGGATGAACACGGCTCGTGTATTTGGCCTTTGCTTTCCTATTGCATGCACAGGACTTAGTTTAGTCCTTGTACCCCGAGTATGGCAGGACTTGCTGATTCCC